AATTAATTTTTTTTAAAATTTGGAAAATTAAAACCTATTTTGTCCCTATTCTCAAGAATCACTGGAGTAATAGCTATAATGTACTTGTATGGTTTATAAGTTAGACACGAGGCTAAAGCTAATTCTAAGCTTGTGGCTATGTTGTTGTCATAGCAACTGCCAATTACAAAGTTCACATAAGTGCGACTTCACATGAGAACTATGTATTGGGTTGGGGAATAAGTGAAAATCTGTTATAGCACAAAGCATAGCCATCCTTTTTGGAGGATGAGGGGAGGCTTGGCCAGCAGCTGGACCTCTCTTCATCCTCCAGGAATAAAAGGTGCGCGTCCCCTTTAAGAGCCACTGATGACCTCACAGCTTTCCAGGCTTTGTTTGTCCGGAGCAGCCGCTGATCCGCAGACAGACCTCGGAGAGCAGCGGACGCCGAGCTACAGCCCCTTCTTTCGGACCCATCTGCAGCAGCCATGCCGTCCGACAGACCCTTCAAGCAGCGGAGGACCTTTGGTAAGACCACGGCCCGGAGCCCGGCCGGCGGGCCCGAGCCCGGCGGTGGGTGCCTGTAGGCCGGGGGGGATGCGTTGCTGTGGCCGTTGGAGGCTCCAGGCTAAGTGGGGACGCATCGTAAAGCCCCTCCGGAGGTCCAAATGAACCACCAGAAGCGTTTTAAGCGTAAAGCAGGGGGATATATGTGGGTTCTGGTGCTTTAAGGTTTGGTTTGAAGGCTAACGGCCATCTGGGTCAGTGTGACATCAGGCCCGGACCCAGCGGTACCATCAGAACCAGCAAGGCTAAAACAACTGCACTACTGGTTCCGCTCTGTGTTTACTGGGGAGGGGAAAACAACATGTGCTGACACTTGATCCCGTCACGCGTGTTCTGTGGTTCACTTGTAATCTGATTCTGGTGGAGGGGCCCAGTTCGGACTAGGAGGAGCCCAGACTCTCATAATTGCATAATGGGCCTGATCCAGAGGAAAACAACAGAACCGGAGGAATTGCAGGGTTTTAAAGGTCAGCTGGACTCTGGTTTTAGCTGCAGGATCATGTTGGACTTGAACGGGACTCAGAACCCAGCGGAATCCAGCAGAACCGCCTCAGTTTCTGTGTTTAGGATGCTAATCTGTCTTTTTTTTATCAGCTGACAGGAACATGAAGGCTGGACAGCTGATCCAGGTTCCGGTCCAGAGTCCAGGCGGTTTGTTTACCTGCTGGGAAACAATTAAATGATCCTATCTGGGTTTAAAACTGGACCTGGCAGCGTCCACAGACCGGTTCGGGTCAAAACGGCTTGGTTTAATGTATGTGTTCGCTTTATTTACGGTTTAACTGTAGTTTAATCCCAATTCTATTCAGATTTTTTTGGTCTTTGCTTAATTCAAGTTTTATTAGTTTTATTTAAACAATTTTAAAAAAATTATTTCTAAGTTTAATTCCTTGTTTATTTTTCATCCTGGTTTTAATAATTTAGAAAATAAACCCACTTTATCCTGATTTTATCCCATCAAGCAGTGGGAAAGATTCCTCTGCCTACATCTCCCAGAATGCTTTGCTGTTCTGGGAGATCGAGTTCAATGAAATTATTTTATATTCTATCAGATGTATTATCTGTTGATATTAATCAGATGGTTCTGATCCGACCCCCCTGAATCTGCTGCAGTGGAACCAGAACAAAGAGCCCATTCAGATTCCAGAGTTTTCCTGACCTTTGACCCAAGCCTGATGTGTTTATGGGGCATTGGGTATTACGTGTTTTCTGACTGGTTCAAAGAGTTCTGAGGAGGACGCAGCATGGACGGGTCTGCAGCTGGTTTTGGTTCATCTGACTGAAACGTTTCTAACTGTTTTACTGGGATCAGAACCTCGGTTTGACCCCTCCTGCTTTCCATCCACAGCTGATCGGTGCAAAGAGGTGCAGCAGATCCGGGAGCAGCATCCCAACAAGATTCCCGTAAGTCCCCGTCTCGCCTCTCTGATTGATCCTGAATCGGGCCGTCTGATCGGAATTAGAACAGAACCTTGAAATGTCCGTTTGCATCTGTCTGATTCAGCAACAGGGAGTCAAGCTGCTGAATCAGACGCCTCTTTAGCTGAACATTTAAGCTAGGCTGAAAATACAGGACATAAGTAGAGCTGAAACTAAATTGGTAATCAATAAATCGTTAAGTGGCCTAAACAAACAGACTATAAAAAGTCAATTTACTGAAAGAACAAAACAGTCAGAGCAGTAATGAAGCTAAAACTCCACAAAAATGAAAACATTCAGCATTTAAACGGGCATTGTCATGTAAAATCAACTTTTTTAGCTTTACATCATGTTATGTTGTTTTCTCATCAAAAACAAACCTGGAGTGTTGCTTTGAATCTTTCATGTATGTTTGAGAACTCCTTTAATCACCATGGCAACCATTCAGCTGTGCAAAGCGCTAGGTTGGACCTAGCCCCGCCTTAGAGGCGCAGCTCCTTCAGACTAGCCACCTCACCAACCCAACCTGACTTTCTTTTTTTTTTTCTTCTTTTTTTTAACCATTTTAGCTGTTGGAACTGATGAGCTCGTTGTAGGAGCTGCTGCTCAGAGCAACACTGGTAAAAACTTTAAAGGGTTAACAGAGAAGCCATGTTGGGATGACTTCCTGAAAGAGCAGGAGCTTCTTAAAGAGACAAAGTCCCAATTTCATGGCATTAAATTACAAAATCAAATTTCTTTTAAATCATATTTTTTATATTATACATGGTATTTTTATAACAACTGAAGGTAACATAGATACTTGATTATGTGATAAAATGGCATTATCTGTAAATCTGTTCTATCCAGAACTCCTCTAGTTGCAGGTTTAGCTTCATCTGGTTCACTTTCTGTGAATAAATGTCCTATTAAGCACTTTTTTCCATCCAATTATTAATTGTTTAATTAGTCACTGTATTGATTGTCAGTCCAGCAGAAATGCCGGAGCCTTTCACATGTTAATGGATGTTTTAGCTGATGTTTTAGATTATTTATTATTTTAAAAGAAATTTATTTGTATATTTCTTAGACAGTGATTCAATTCTAATGTCTTGAGGTGAAAAAAATGCAATTTAATCACACATTAATTCCAATTTATTCTAGTTATAAGTCTAATTAATTACTACAATTAAAATGTTCCTATCTTCTGGAACCCAGAAGAGTATTGAGTTGTTGACTGCACAGCCGTGCCTCTGACTGAGCACGCATGTGGTGACAGTGGAAAGGAATAAAAAGTAAATCCGTCTATCCAGTCTCTTCTTTTGGTTCAGGAGTAATTTGGAAAAAAAGTGTCATCCTCATATTTTTTTTCTGTTAATTACGCAGGATAAATTTGATTAAGTCTATCAATTTAAAGGTGAAAAAATGTTGGTAAAAACTTTTTTTTGCCTTAATTTATGACGAACCTTCATTTTCCTTATTTACAGATTTAATAATCCAAAAACAGCTTCTATAATTCAGACTAGAAGCTTTTATTATCATCTCTACTGATGGGCAGGAAGTGTTCTGTAAAGTTGCTGTGAATATTTGCCTGGATGGATTGAACTGTCAGGATCTTTCCTGCTCCTGTTCGCCCCCTGCAGGTGATCATCGAGCGGTACAAGGGGGAGAAACAGCTTCCTGTCCTGGACAAGACTAAGTTCCTGGTTCCTGATCACGTCAACATGAGTGAGCTGGTGAAGATCATCAGGTAAACATCGTCTGCCGCTCCAGAACGCTGAGATTAAAACTCAGCTGGTTTTCACTGTCCTGAGGCACAGAAACCATTTTAGTCAAACATGGATTAATTTATTTGAATGAATTTAAAGATTGATGATGAAAACACTGAACTCCGGCATAGCAAAGCAGAAACTAGAGAAAATGCCAATAACAAAGTCTGACACTCAACTTAAACTCAATAAGGATGTAGCTTTGTTAGGCCAGCGAGGACGTCAGGAGACCCAACAAATCAGCACTCTACGGACGGATTTAAAAGCCCTCTATGGATGGTGCAGATTATCACACTTGATAGTCTGGTTGACTCAGTTGAGTGGGGACAAAATTGCAACATTTGCTACATTTTTGCTTTCACACAGCACTGTCAAACATTTCAAACTAAAAAGCTGTTCTGCTCCTGGCCTGTGGGGGCGCTGCATCAACAACCACTGAAGGAAACAACACAAAAACCTCTGAAGACATTGAGTGCAACTTCCTTCTTCAAATGGAAACTAAAATGGAAGTGTCAGAATTTAGCAGTTGGAGTTCACTTCAACCGAACCAGATCGAGGTTTGGAGGACCAGAGTTAGCTTAGCATTCACACCTCACCAACCCAACCTGACTTTATGTTTTTTTTTTTTTTTTTTTTTTTTTTTTAACCATTTTAGGGGTTTTTGAAAATTAAAACTTTGTTTTTTTTAACCCACAAAAATTTAAATTTTTTCCCCCT